GGGGGGGGGGGGGGGGGGGGGGGGGGGGGGGGGGCACGGGGGAGAGAGATGCGTGAAGAGGCAGAGGGGAGGGGTGGAAGAGAAACACAACAGAGAGACCAAGAGTACAACAAAATGCGCTCGTTGTTGCTGGAAGCATCGTACCCTACGACACAGTCTTGCCGTCTCCCATCTATTTCTATTCGATTCATTCGTGACGCACCAAGACACAAGTTGCAATCCCCCCCTCCCCATGCAAACCTTTAGCCTCTCTCTCGCTGTAACGGGAACGGCAGCATGAACAAAAATATTCTCCCTTTGTACCGTTTGCTTTTGAGACAGGCGGAGGGAGCGTCTTGTCTGAAGACCTACCCCTCCCACGGACGAGGAACCCCCCCCTACCACCACCAAACCAAACCGCTCTCTCGCAAGTGGAACCGAACCATCTACACGCGCACCTCGAGAATGGCGAACACCGCGTCCACGATGACGACCACCGACAGGGGGAGTAGGATGGTCGGCACGCGGAACGTGTTGGTGATCTCGGGGATGGTCTGGAGGGAAGCCAGCACCAGGAAGTAGGCGTTCGCCATCTTCCTCCTGGGGTGGAACTCTTCCATCAGGAACCTCGGCAAGAAGTCCCAATGCGTGTACTGTGGTCGTGGCACAGGTTGTTTGTGCCGACGAAAATTGTATCGTGTCCCGGTTTACCGTTTGTTCCGATCGCGGTTCCGTTCCATTCCGGTACCCAGTTCCATTCCGTGGCATATCCCGCGGTTGTTCCGGAGTCGGTTCCGGTCCGGCATTTAGTACCCGGCACGTCCCATCGCCGTTATTGCGTTCCGTGGGGTTCCATGTCGGTTCAACACGAATTTTCGTGCCGTTCCATATTGTTGTTGGCGCCCGCGGCGTCATTGGGGAACAGAAAAAAAGAGCAAGGCAGAACGAATGACAAAGACAAGCAAAAGGCAGAGCAAGTAGCAGCCGTCAGAGGTCGCAGTAAACAGACATACTGGCACGTTTCGTAGAAAAAAAAGAGCTCGCCGACGGGGCTCAGACCACCTCCTGTCAGTGTTTTTTTTTGTTTATTTGTTTTTCTCCAATCATTGGACTCTGTCGTCTGCCCTTCTGGCCCCTATCCTCCACTTCTACCAGCTAGACGACCCAACCGGGGTCCCAAAGGAGGGGGGGGGGTTGGACCCCCTCCTGCGGTTCCTGCCTGAGGTATTTTTATCGCGAGAAGGGTACAGCAATCCCTTCCCTCGCGACTTAAGAAGTCGATCAAGTTTACTAAATAAAAACGAGCTTTGCAGCTCATCGCTTCCAACGGAGACCAGGATTTAACTAGCGAGACAAAACTCACTTTGTCGGGACTCGAACCCATGACCTGGCCCTCAGCAGGCTGCGAGGCTACCCACTAGTGTATGCATGTGCGATTGTTGTGTGCGTGGTACCGTAGAGAGACGGGGAGAGAGCCGGGGGCACGATTTTGCCGACAATTCTCCGCTTGTTCTTGTACACATGTATATACTGCTGTACACCTCTGCTTTCGTGTGCTGCACTCAAGCCCGCGACGAAGCCTTTGCACAGCTATTTACTACAATACGTGCGCCTACCGAAAGCTTGAGCAGCAGTTCTCACCCCCGCAAATGCGTGTATATACCTCATATCAAGCATGTCTTTCGGGGTATTGTGCTCAGTTCTGGCAAACACGTGGCGCAGTGGCATTGTGCAAAAGCGAAATATATGCAGGTTTCGATACCCTCGGGGCAACGGGCAACGGGCTAGTCCTCTCATTGTCCGCAAGCGCTGCTGTGCCGATTGCCCTCGAGCCGACACCGACCATCCAACCATTTTTCCGGCGACAATACATGTATATGCATGCATAGCGTACAATCATTACAACATGAGCATCTCGCCGTTTGGGCACCGACCGAGCAAGAGTTCGAATCCACTACAGACCAGAGAAGGTATGCACCTGCTGTGCCGGCAACCTCACCGGAGTTCCTGATGGGTTCTTAATTGCACCCGTGTACCCAACTCGACACCTCGCTGGAACTTGAACTTTCTTTTTTTCTGGCGTGCTAGCATGCATGTGTATATATCTATTTATATATTATTATTTTTGTCTCCCATCATTGGACTCTGTCGTCTGCCCCTCTGGCCCCTATCCTCCACTTTTACCAGCTAGACGACCCAACCGTGGTCACATAGGAGGGGGGGGGTTGGACCCCCTCCTGCGGTTCCTGCCTGAGATATTTTTATCGCGACAACGGTACAGCAATCCCTTCCCTCGCAACTTACAAAGTCGATCAATTTTACTAACAACGAGCTTTGCATCGCGTCGCTTCCAGCGAGACCAGGATTTAACAAGCGAGAAAAAATTCACTCTGTCGGGACTCGAACCCATGACCTGCGAGGCTACCCACTAGTCCACCGGGGCGACCGGTCTATGTGGATGGTCGACACCCGATCCCATTGCACCCCAATCTGCTGAATCTTCGGGAAGTAACTTGGTTGCACTTTCAAGTCTCCATTTCCGGGCTCAGGCGTACCACCACCTTGTTTCAGAAATACGACTATTTACGAACTTGCATGTCCATCACGTTCAATTTTTTTGCTCACACCAGAGGACTCATGTACAATGAGTGTTGCATTTTTTTGCTCATGCCGTCAACTCGTCACACCCCGAGCAACCAATGTGCTACAGCAGCGTCTACGCATGCGTACGATCTTGCCTATTGAAGAAAAATGGCCACGTCCATGCTGCCGGGATACGAATCTCGGAATGTTACTGTGGCCGTCTCAATACCCCTTTCACACAGCGATAACTCAGCACGTGGGAGGGGGCGTCCTCATCTCTTCGCTTCCGGTCTCCCAGATGTTCCATGTCGATGTAATCCATTTCCCCCGCCCAAACCTCCGGCCACCCGCGCTACCCCCCGCTAATTCCCCCGCACCCAGGCAGGGTAAGATCAATATCCAAGAGAAACCAAACCAGGGTCCAAATAATCCGTTGCCAGCTAGATCTGTCTGCACCTGGTCCGCATGGTTGCTATGCATACGATCTTCGGTAAACAGCAGCCCGCCCACGTAGACTGGGGCGTGGTACCTGCATATCACCCTGCTCTGTCGTATTGTGCTGATGCTGTGCTGTCGTACCTTGCTGGTGCGGACGAAGTTGCTGCAGAACCAGTGATCCTGGTCGTCGTTGAGAGAAATTTCTCGATGGCGGCGCCCCTCTAAGTCCGACGCGGTCGTCCGGTCCGGCCACCCCCTGGGGTTCGAAGGCGGCTTTCCCTCATCGTTCCTCCTCTCCCTCCTACTGCTCATCCTCCTGCTGCTGCTGCTGCTGCTGCTGCACCCGCCGCCCCTCGCAAGCCCGCCCCCCCGGCTATTTGTATGTGAGTTCCGTTCGTGGGTCGTGTTGACCTCAACCTGTCTCACACAGCAGTGACTCTCTTCACCCGCTCTTTCCCGAGAGAGACAACCCGCGGCGGCAGAGCGGACGAGAATATGCGCCAACGGAAACGGGTCCGCCGCGTTGGAGTGCCCACGCAATGCCCGAAGGAGGAGCCAGCTCTAGAAGGTAAAACACCTCGGGTCCTTTGACGGCACCGCACACTCAGCAGACACAACACACACACACCAAAAAACGGAACCTGCAGCAGCAGCAGCGCCGAGAAGCAGGGACAGCGCTGCAGCCAAGTTCTTGAAGACACACGCCAACGAGGGAGCAGCCTCTCTGGTTGTACTTGCAGCGGCCCCCCACTTCCGCATGTATACGACCAGCGCTCACATCTACCAGCGGATCAAGTATGTAGTCTCCACCCCCGCTGTCCTCTTGTCTGCTGCTCTGGGTTTGTGTGTGTGCGTGATGCCGCTGGCGGTCGGCGGTCCGTCGGGTCGTTCCTCATCTTCCCGCCGAATCCGCGGAGCCCCTTGGGGCACCGTGAAAGGCCTCTTGGAGGGCGGGTGGTCCGCCGGGAGAGTGCTGAACCGGGTGGAACAGCCTGCCTCAGCAGCATAGACCTCGGAGTGGGGCACGCGATAGCAAAGCAAGCTAGATCAGAGGGGACAGGGAGACAGAGAGAGGCAGAGGGAGGAAAAATCGTGACGAGAGATCCTCCATCCAATGAGATCCTGATGAACGGCAACAGAGTCAGTCCGATCACCCCCCCTCTGCTGCTGGCTGGGCGTTGATCCTTGCTTTGCTCTTATTGCTCGCCTTTTTTACGGGCAAAATGCTCATCCACACCGCAGTTGCCTCCCTGGCGCCTCGGCAGGCAATGCGCCAAAGGAAAGGCAGGCAGAGGAAGGCCGTGTCGCTGACGCCGCCTAGCGACTTCCTGTCCGGCGGAGACAGAGAGGTGCTGGCCTCCTACACGGCCTTCAGCTACCAGGGCAACTTCTCGGATGTTGCCTGCAGGCTCATAGACACTCTGCCTCACCAATCTCCTTCGTCGGGGGTGAGTGTTGTACCACGTACCAATTGCAGCAGCTGGGCCCGAACACGGGCAACCCACGTGTTTTCACGTGCAACTAGGTGCCGCCTTTCCCGCAGCGAAAGAACTGCACACAGGTAGCCCGCCGCCGTCAGCATGTTCTGTTCTTTGAGTTACAGCAGCAGTTGCTTCTCCGTTGCTGCAGTGAAATTTGTTGGAAGCATCAACGCATTTAAAATCGAAGGCAAAGTAGACACCGCAGGAGGGATGGGTAGGAGACCTCAGTGAGATTAACCCTTCTTGTGCAACCACGGGTTGGAGTAAGCGGCACGAGTGCTGTCAGCTGCCAGTCAGTCAGTGCTGTAAGCGCTGATATGAAGTGAAGAAATGAAAGATAAAAAACGGCAAGTCGCAAAAGCAACTACTACGTGGTGTGTGCATAAAATACTTGTACTGCTGTACAGTACAAGTAGCCCAGCTTCGTACAGTGATATCTGCCTGCGTACTGCTGTGTAGACTCACCCGCAAGGTGCCCATGATGTGCACTCTCAATGTCCTTTGCCAAACACACACCACGCGCCGCGGGATGGCTGTGGCACCAAGTCCCCCCAAGAAAGTCGCATGATGTCGCTGCAGTGCATCTGTTGTGTAGGCACATGCACAAGTACCAACTTATTCGTCCAGTTGAGATCAAAATCATTTTTCTCACTCTGATCGGAAATATCGGTTGGGAAATCCGGAATATAAGATCGGTTTCTACTATAAGGCCATATAGAGGGTGCAGGAGGTCGGAGAGGCTTGATTTTGCAACGGGCACCGAAAAGGATCGAAAAAAAAAACAATCGCTCAAAGAGGGTGGATGGTTCGCTGGTATCCCCGGGTTCAGGGTTAGGGTTAGGGTTAGGGCAACAACAATCCCGTTGTTGCTCCCAGCGAGTAGGTGCCGAATCACCTTCTCTCTTTCCAACTGTTGAGATTCTTGCGTTTTGACACCTGGGAGGCACCCCCAGCAGCGGAAATGCCTCGCCAGCAGATGGGAAGGCTCTTCACCGGAGGTTCAAAGTTGGGGTGTTGATTTCGAGTGGCTTCCGCTGGGGTAGGACCAACCTTTTAGTGGGACTTGTCAAAAAGAGCCCGGTTCTGTGTGTCCCGCGTAACGCGGCGAAACCAAGGAAAAAAACGATTCGTCAAAATATTGTAATGGGATCGAGATAGCCCGCATTTTGTCCCAACCGATCTTATATATCCGACCAGAGGGCTGTCCTCCATCGGCCGTTTTGCTTGTATGACGGAGAATAAGAAGGTGGAATTACTTGAAAATAGTATAGAAATAAAGTTTGTGTATCTAAATCGAAAATAAAACGGCCGATGGAGGACAGGCCTACCAGAGGGAACGTTTATCTCACACTCTCACAACGCGGCGGGTTTGCCCGTTTTCGTGCCCGAATATGCATTGGAGGCGCCACGGAACAAACGTTTCAGTCCTGCACTGCAAAGACTTCCCCACGCATCCCTTGGACTGTTATTGTGGTATTCTCTCGAACGGGCAGCAAAGTCTTTCAAGTGATAGGTAGGGTATGTGTTAATTTTTTCAAAGTTGCACCGCGCCTGGTGTGTGATTAATGCTTTGTGCAGATGGGCCGGAAACGGCTTGGGCGCGACAGAGCAGGAGGAGAGTCGCGGACGGACGGGGGAGGAGGGCTCACGGGGGTCGAAAGGGTCCGACACCATGACGGAGACCACGTCTTCTATCTCTACGTGACAGCCGAGCTCGGCATCCTTTGCGTCACGGACGGCATTCCGATCGATCAAGAGGTATAGGCTCATCGCGACACACATTGGCGAAAGAAAAGTACCTGATGCGCGTACCAGTATTGGCGAACCAGTATTTTGGCCGGGATACATGGGTCTGGGACACAGTGTTCCAAATTTGTTTAAACAAGTGGCGCGAAAACTTTCACAGGCTCTCAGACTGCTGCTGTTTTCTGTTCTCTACAAGTCCCCAACAGAGAGCAGTTCAAGCCCGCGGACTTAGTCCCTGCGTGAAATTGACAGCCTTACATTTAGCAGGAGCGTTGCTAGCACCGACTTAAAAACACGTTACAGGATTTCGAAACAATCTCGCAGCTTCTTCGCCCGGCACCCTGACGTACACTTGTACTACAACACATCACAACAAGAGCCACACATAGGCTGCTCCACAGATGACCAGTCCTCATCCCATGTTGTCGCATGTTGTCTATATTTCTGTCGCTGCTGCTGCTCTTGTAGGCGCGTACATCGATGTCAGTCAGCCCCCACACGACGCTCTATTCGATTGACTCACAAGCATCGCCTGCGTGGGTAAATACACACGAAACCCACGAGGGTGTACAGCATACCTCTTGCACTCTCCTCACGTACCGCGGAGTATTTTAAAGGGCTTTGCAGCTTCCGTGTGTGTGTGTTGTGTGTTCATGGAGCAACAGAGAACCCCAGAAAACAGGACAAAATTCGGAGGAAACCATGAGTATATCTTGACAGAGCTGAAAAGAGCGGTTAAAGCGGGATTACCCCCACACCAAAGACACACCAAGCGCGCCAACCACCGGTGCACACAGCTGCTGATGACCGTCGCAAGTATCACCGGAGGGGACTGACTCTTGGCAGGTAGCGGCCGGATTCCGTTCAGTAGAGAGTGCATCCCCTCCTCGCTGCAAGGTCCGTGCCGTCGCCGGTGTTTTTTAAATGTCGACTCGTGACACCCGCGGCCCGTTTTCTTCCACAATAATGTTCGTTTCTCGTAGGAGGGTGTTGTATCGGATCTCTAGGCCCTCGGCCGTACATGGTCCCCCCGGAAAGCTGATACAACGGAGCCCCCTGTGTTGAGCGGCAGCATTTTTGTGAGCATTGTAGCGAGCATTTTAGTGGCCAATCGCCCTTCTGTGTCGACGGTTTCAAGCGTCTGACGAAAAACGATTCTACCTGGGTGTGCACACACACCCAAGTATTCGAAATCGGAGCTAGAAGACAAGCCACGTCGACGACCGGCGCTGGGCGCCCACACCCCCTTATACCCGCGCCGTAATTCAACCACAGCAGCGGCGTTTATGTGCGTGTTTCGCGTCCCCCCAAGTGACCGAGGCACCAGCCATTCGCGACTCTTGCTTGTACTGCTGTACCGCCTTTTTAACGGTCTTGTCCCGTCCGCAGGTGATCTGGCGTTCTAGTCCCCCCCTAACCGATCAAGCAACATTTTTTGTAAGTGTTTTGGCGTTCTAGTCCCCCCCAAAGAGATCAAGCAACTTGTTGTACTGCTGGTACGCCTGTTGAACGGTCTTGTCGTCCTGCCCTCCAGGTGTTCGGGTACCTTGCGCTCGTGGAAAAGGCCGTTTCGTCGGCGGTGGCCCCCCTGCGGAGAGCGGCGGACGTGGAGGCAGTGCGCAGGGCGGCGAAACTCGCTCTTGTCGAGAGCATGAACACGTGAGCCGAGTGCTGAGCCGGGGGGGGGGGGTACTTAAAGTCGTGCATGCCGTAGTCGTTAGACCATTGACCTCGCATCCCTACAAAGCCGGGACGGAGCACGCCGGGTTCTCACCGGACCAGGCTCTCACATCACCAAGCGCGAAGCGCCGTGAGGTATTCGGCGAGTCGCATGAAGGGTGCGCTGCATCCTGCTAAGGGCGTCCGGCATCTTGTGCTTACTTCCTTGCATAAGGATGACAGCTGCATATGACTTAATATATTTTCTGGTGCTTCACTTCCAGAGACAGTTGTAAGCACTGTGTGTAACTGCCTCGAGGGTGCTTGACCATTTTGACTCAACGTGGTGCGATCATCTCCCTAGCGCGGAGTGAGGGTTCTGCACCCCGCACAACATGATCCACTCGACCACCCTTACGGTTACCGCCAAAAAAAGAAAAACAGAGGTAAAACAAAGAACGGTAATCTGGTTGCCGAGTTCACGAAGTGAATTGGCTTGTTT